CATCTGCTGGTGATCTTTATCTGTAAGAAAGTAAAGTAGGAGCCTTGTTTTTCATTGTGTCTGCACTCGCTACCTCGTTTGGTTAAATAAGCATGGTGCTCTGGCCTCCCCCTTTATTTTTCCATCATAATTTTAGGGAAGATATACAGAAAAAGCCTTCTTTTGTTTTGGAAATGTTGGCTGTCCTTTGAACTGGAACTTTTTTTTCCTGATTTGTAATCCAGCCTTTATCATTTTTATAAATAACTCAAGGCAGTGAACATACCTCATATTCCTTCCTCCTCCTATTTTCCCCACCACAACAACCCTGTGAGGTGAGTTGGGCTGAGACAGAGGGACTGGCCTAAAGTCACCCAGCCGGGTGAAAAGACTTTCATGCCTAAGGCGGGACTTGAACTCGCCGTCTCCTGCTTTACTAGTCTGGTGCCTTCACCGCTAGACCAAACTGGCTCTCAAATCATCCAACGTACATCAGACTTAACTTGATGATGTAGTAGAAAAGAAGAAGAGGTGTGAGTAGACTGAAAGAAGTAATAAAATAGGTTTTCCAACCTTGTAATAGAATGATTTTCGGTTTTCTGCGTTGTAAGACTTTTGCTAGACGATTATGCAGGACTCTCTCTTTTAGAATAAACACCCGGAGAAAAGCAAACAGCCACCGCCCATCATACTTGCATAAGAATGCAGTTGTATATTTCATACGATATTTACTTTTCTTCTGACGCAGTCTCAGGTTGCTCAGCCTTACATAACAGGGTAATAGATAACCACAGTAGTCTATATTTTAGATTTTGTTTCGATAAAACTTTAAATTTGCCTGGGGGGGGATTTTTCCCCCTGCTGTGGCTTTTGCCCTGAAGTGTTTTTTAGTTGGTTGCGTTAATGGTGACAGTTAATTTTTTTTTTTCCTGTAATCCTTAATCTGAATGCATCATTTTTCCCATCCTTGTTGAAGGTGATGGTTGTAACCTTTAAAGTCCCTTTAAAGTCAGATAGTTCCAGCTGGGAACCTTGGAACCTGTCTGTAGTTCTTTGAACCATTAATAGCAGCTCATATTTGGTATAATCTTTGTCTTCTAGCAGTTTTCCCCCGTAGCTTTGTGCCCTGCGGATAAAATTGGATGTCATCTTCCATAATGCAGTTGCAGTCTACACATTTGCAGGGCATCAAGCGGGAACAGCTGTCCTACAGGACTCTAGTAAGCCAGCATTATTCTCCCCAGGGAATTTACTCCTCCATCATGGTATAGCAGGGTTCCCATTAAGCTCCAGCTGGCTGGATTCACAGAACATACTAAGTCAAAACCGGAGGAGTCATATAACAGGATAGTAACGTTTGCGAACCCAGCCGGTTAGATGGATCAGGAATTGGACTTCAGTTCATTTCCCATGCGTGCCCCTCTGCTACTGCCTGCCCCCCAAACGCTCATCACTTGAGGTGGGGGTTGCCTGTTAGTTAGCAGGACCCTGACCCTTTACCTTGACTCATTAGTTTTCTATGTTTGAAGGCCTTGTGCATACAGATAAAGAAGTGTACAACCATGTGAACCTCCATCTGTTCGGTTTTAAGACTCCTGATTATCGGCCCAGCACTCTTTCAGGGAGAGTTTACTTTAGTTCTCTTGAGTTTACTTAGGCTTCAGCCTTGTAATGCCGTCTTGATATTTATACGTCAAGAAGAATTAACTTGGCTGAGCGTTTTGTTCCAAACTGGACCACGTCATCCAGTACGGTTAATATTAATCAGCAACCATTCTGAAGCCTAGATCTTTTCCCATGGCAGTCTTGCAGGGCATGGTTTGGGTTTGAAAGGCAGTCTGTTGGCATTTACTAACCATAGTCATCAAAAGAGATTTGGCCTCTTCCATTGCTGTCAGTTGGATTTGTGCATCACGCCAAGCCATCATGCGGTTGAATGGCTTTGACTTCATCTGCTGCATGAACCCAACCATTATGGTTTGCAAACCATGGTTTATGACTTAACCTGATGTGTAAGTCTAGACCATTGTGGATTATTTGGTAAAGGATGGATTTAAAATCGCTAAATGTGAAGTGTGAATGCAGCCAAGGAGTTTTGTACCTTAAATAAATATATAAATAGTTTCCCCCCCCCAGCTTATCTGGGTTTTGAAAAGGCAGTGTTAGTCGGGGAAGTGCAGGATAAATTGCAAAGACTTTCCTCTCTTCTAAAATTCATCTGGCAGAATGTAATTACTAGTGGTTTCTGTTTAGGCTGACCCTATCTAATAGGATCTATACTCCCAGAATTGTGCCTCAGCATAAAGCAGTGTTTCTCAACCTTGGCAACTTGAAGATGTCTGGACTTCAACTCCCAGAATTCCCCAGCCAGCACTTCTATATATGTCCTCAAAGGACCTGAGAAAAGCAATATTTTTTTTTTAGAGAAAGAAAAAGAGAGAAACTAGATTTATTAATTGCCCTACACAATAGATGGAGTAAGCATGAAGTGAGGCTGAAATACAGTATCAAAAACTAGCGATAAATGTATCTGTAAGAACCTGGAGAAATGCAAGCATGAAAAACAAGTTCCAGCAGGAAACTCTTGCTTTATCACTTGCTCTGCTGCTCACTTTCTCCTTTTGTTTTGGAGAATGTAACACTTTGTGCTGAAGAATTGTGTACATTTCAGCATTTGGAATCCACCGTTGATGCTGGGCACACAGCCTATGGCTGCCTATGAACTTGGAGCTTAGTCAGTTCTAGCAGGACCGTAGTGTTGTTTTCCAGAGGTTGGTGCTGGTCGTAGCCTTCTCCAACCTAGAGCCCTTCAAATGCCTCATCCCAGCTTTCCAGGCTCTGTTCCAGATGTTGGTTGTAATTTTTAAAGCTGTCGTCAATAGAGAATCTGGCTATTTAATGAAGGCCTTTCTGGGGAGATCTTTTGCAGAGGCTCAATTGGGCACGGGCAACTTGTAAGTCAGAATTCAGAGTTCAAATCTTGAAGCATAATATGGTTTGGTTGGTTCTGATATTATGATTCACTGAAACCCAGCCAACTGAGGCTTCTAACCATAGTTTATGATTTAGTGCACTACGTGGACCCAGCTAATTTGGCCTATAATATGAGATTGGGGTCAAAGGATGCTACTGATAGCGTTCTTGAAATGTTCTGTCTACCGTAACCTTGAGGCTGGATTTATACAGAACCCAAATCCATACTTTGCCTAGTCTTGATTTATTGTATAAACTACTGTTGAGGACTGAGATCACACAACGGGTGAAAACCCAAAGTCGGACAAAGCATGTTGTAGCTTGGGATGGTGTAGGGCAATTAATAAATCTAGTTTCTCTCTTTCTCTCTCTCTAAAAAAAAATGCTGCTTGGATCACGTTTCTTTCCTCAGGTCCTTTGAGGACATATATGGAAGCGTGCCAAAAAAACATGTCTCAGCACAAATTCAAGGCCTTATTCCTGAATACGTATCAGAGAAACAGATACTTGATTGTGGCATATTACACGTGTTCCTTGTTTATGGATTTACTTTAAAAGTGAGAAAAAGAAGGCATTTTAACCCCAAACTACTATATTAGAACATTATTAACTTAGTTTTAGGAGAATAGCCGCACCAGCTAGAGCAAAATTAAGAAATAGTCTGGTGATTGTACTGAAGAATCTGGTTTGCGTAGATCCTGACATGTACATTAAGTTAAATTGTAGCTTGTTTAGCCATGGATGGTTGAAAACGGAGTAATGGTTCACTTCAATATTGATCCATACACTATGAACCACGGTGGCTAGGTTCACACTATGGCTTAGCCACCTGTAGAAATCATCTTGTAGCTCTTTAAAGACTACCAAACATCTTACAATATAAGCTTTCATGGATAGCAATCCCCTTACATTTTTGCCCTTCTGGGTACCACAAGGCTCTTCGTGATTAACAAGGCTTTTTTGTGGCTGTTTGTCAGCAGGAAAGCATGTTTGCTTCTATTTTTTGCCAATGTACAGCAGCTTTCAATCTCTAGTAAAGTTTCTACCCTCAGTGACTTCCAGTGACATCAGCTCAGTGCAGTGAGCCAGAGGCTCACCAGAGCACTGAGGGCCATTTGTGGTCTAACTTTCGGTTGTTCAGCCTCCCCTCGCTCTGACTTCAACACTGTTGGTTTGAATTACGCACAGACCATACTAGTGCAAACACCAGTGGCAAGACCAACAGCCGTGTTGCAACTCCAGAGTGATAACAGGAGATTGGGGCGTTAGTGTTTTCCATACGTTTCTGGGAATAAGTCCCACTGAGCTCTTAGAGATTTACTTCTCAGTTGACCTGCATAGGATGGGGGTATGAGTTGCTGATTCAGGCTGTGAATCATAAATGTTTATCTGAGTAATCGTTTCCATTGAATTAAATGGGAATTGCTTCTCAGCAGAAACCTAAACGCTGATGTTGACTGTGGTTAGACATATTTGTTTCATCACAGTTTATGAATCAGCTGGGTTTGCAAAGCCTGCTAACCCATAAATCACAATGGCTGGATTCATAGTGCAAGCTAGAACTAAATAAATCCATTTGAGTGAACCAAGCCTATAGTATGAGATTGGAGTCAAAGGATGCTACTGATAGCGTTCTTGAAATGTTCTGTCTACCTTAACCTTGAGGCTGGATTATACAGAACACAGATCCACACTTTGCCTAGTCCTGATTTATTGTATAAACTACACTGAGGACTGAGATCACACAACGAATGAAAACCCAAAGCCGGACAAAGTGTGTTGTGGCTTGGGATGGTATATGGACCTGACCAATATTTGGGATTAAGGTAAAATGCTGATGCGTTCTGTACAATTTATACTTATTTTGTTTCTGGCTGAACTCATTTACCCTTTTAGCAGCTGGTGCTTGATTAGAAGTGCCAGCATGAAAAAAGTAGAAAATCTGTGGTTTAGGTTTTCTCTGCTGGGGATAGGAAGATGTTCAACTGCTGAATTTCTACTTGCCATTCACCCAGGAACCTCACAAGGAGAGAAACTGGCAACCATACCGGACAGGGTCCATTGTTCTTTGCAAGAAGAGAAGCCATCAATGAAATTAGATCCCCAGATGGTGCTCAACTTCTTTTTTGGGGGGAGGGTCTTTAGACTCTTGTTCCTGCTGTTCTTATGGGGTTGGGGAAGGGGCCAAGTTGCATCATTTGATAGAACTTGCCCAGATTTCAGGGGGCTGCACATCTCGAGGATCTTTAGTCTTGCATCTGGGGCAGCCGTTGCCTTAAACCATAACTCTGCCTATTTGGATGTTTTTCTTTGGAGGAGAAAAACATTCTCCTAATTCCAGCCTTTGTACTTCTTCATGGGAGACCAAGAACTAGTTCAGCCTTTGGATTGTGAATAGCTTTGAACACGCCGATGGAATACTGTTAAAACATCCCCCGCTCTCTTTTAGATATTGCTGTTTTGCCAAACGTGCGTGCCTGTTTTTTTTAAAAAGCATTAACATAAAAGGAATGCCTGATTGCTAGTTGATTATTGTCAGTCAGGTGTTCTCGCGGGCTAGTTTTTCCCTGAAAATAACTCCTTGCATGATTTTGGTGGGTGTGATTTGTGCAGTAGGGCAACCTACGGCTGGTATCAGTTGAAAAAAAATGAGAGAGGTGCCATACCTGCTGCAGAGTATATTTTTTTAATCATCAGGGCCTCTCCTAGCAGCACCATTGCTCCAAGCCAGATATGCAACAGTAGAAGATTATGGGGAACAAAAGGAGTTGCAGCAGAACGTGGAAAGACAGAGATAAGCAGCGTACAGTGCAATGTTAGAACAAAAATATTAGATTTATCCTTGCAAAGTATTCATTTATTCCTTTTCTAAATTAAAAAAAATTAATGTCTGAAATATATCCGTTTATTTGTTCAAGGAAGAAGCATCTTTCAGGTTCAGCCTGGAAGGAAAGAATGAAATACTTTGGTGTAAAAGCTAGGACCTCCTCATGGGTCAGAAAAGACCAGCATTATCGGGACTGAGTTAGAGTCTGAATTAGCATCCTAGTGTCACTCATTCGTTGGCTCTTGAACAATAGCTTCACGCTTGCCTAAATCCATCAGGGAACCTCTTAGTGTTACATCCAAACCAGCATTCTTGATGTATTCTTCTGAACCAGAACTGGAACCCATGTTTTGGTTTACACTTCTGGCTTGTTAGAGAACAAAGCAATGGCATCTAAGTTAAAATAAGTTTGGAGACTGAAAATGAGGTCTGTGTTTCTCCTTTTTCCTGCTTTCATTGCTGCTTTTGATAGAGTGTCAGTTAAGTTATATATTCTTACACAGTCTGGTGTTTATGCATGTTTAGTCTTCACTCCAGATTCTAAGATTGCCTTCCCCATTAGTTGGTTGAAATGTCATGTCATGTTTAAACTGGCAATTGGTTTGAGCAAGCCTCCAAATTCAGGAGTGGGTGTTAGAATGTGATTCACCTTGTTTTGGAGGGTTTCATCCAACCATCGTTTGCTGTATGTGATGAAACGACAGAGTGCTGTAAATAAAGAGTTAATTGGGTGTTTTCTTATAATAAGGGCAAGGTAGAAAGCTAAAATTTAGAAGAGAGAGAGGCGCAAGGAGAGAAGCAGTTGACAGGGGAAAAGGAGATAGTATATAAAAAGGAAGTTAATTAATTAATTAATTTGTGGCCCTTGTGAAAAAGTCAACTAGCCTTCTGTATATAAGCATGGACTTTCACTGATGTACCTCTAAACAGAAATGGCGTGCATCCTGTACTAATCATTCATACCTAATGTTGTTATTGCAATCAACTCGTTCTCAGAGTGAAATGAGAGAGAGCGTGGTACCTTATATTCTTTGTAAGAAACTAGGCAAACAGGAGAAGAACCAAGAAGCAAGTATGTCAACTCTACATTTATCATTTTGGAGTGGCATCAATGAGATTTTAAACCACATTTATTCTCCAAATAAACTTAGGAGTGATGCCATTTCTGACCAGGGAAACCCGGTTCTGCCATATTGTGTAACAACATTGCATCATCAGTTGCATGGACTGTCTGGATGTTAGCAGCTGTTTACTTTTGACTATTATCTCCTGCAGCAGTGGGAGAGGACCAGTGTAATCACATCCTGTTTCTAGTCTTCTGAGCATCAGCTGATTGACTGCAGTCAGAAGCTGGGCGAAATGGACTTCTGGACTGACCCAGCAAAGTGCCTCTTAGCTTTTTATCAAACCAAGATGTTATTTGTTAAGCCAAGCATGCAAGGGGAGTCAGATGTACAAGGTTCATAAATTGATGTCCAAATGTAGCCATGACTTGCCTATGGCCCCTTGCTTTATGTCATGGATGGACCTTTTCCATACCTTTTCTAAGGTGACAAAGCATGAACAAAGAATTTTAGGCTTCACCTGTCCTACACTATGACTGGCTTTGTTTAAGGAAAAACAGCAATACCATTACTTAAAAATGCTGGTTGACATTATTTGCTTTTAAAGACACAGAAGTATTGGCTTGATCCATGCATAGAGGCTGTTGCACACAAGAGAATCCTGCCCACTGTTTCTGTGGTTTGCCACATTCTCTTTGCATTTATGAGTGGCTGTCCTTGGTCTTTTTAGTGACCCACGTAAAGGTTTCCGCTGTTTTTTTTTTAATAAAGTAATAATCATTTAGGGATATTGTAATTGCCCTAGGAGATGGAG